GTTACCACAGTACTCCCAACTTGCTTACTTTGCATGCCTAGAGATCCACGACAACATGATAAATTCTAGGAAAAGAACTAGTAGTGTCTTCGCAATCGAATCTTCTTTCAACCGGGTGCGGCCCTAAGCTACGGGCCCTGGTCGCGAACAGTGTCTGTACTCCAGGAGCGGCAGTCAGTAGAGTTTCTGGACGCTGACTGTGATTGGTCTGGAACGGGGATAAATGGGCCCCTCTAGCGTCTATTGGTCGACTTGAATGCGATTTCGCTCTTAGAGTAATCTTGAAAAAGGTGTCTCTGTTGTCGGGGGGAATCCAGCTGTCGGTATATTTTCCTGCCTTCTCCTCCCACTCACCCTCACTTCCAACACTTCCAAGATACCCCAAAATGTCGTCTCTCCCCCCAGTCTACATCGTTTCCGCTGCCCGTACGCCTACGGGCATGTTCTTGGGGTATGTCGTCCCACTCCAAGCTATGAGGGGCGCCAGCCAACTCACGCGATAACAGCTCCCTCTCGAGCCTGAGCGCTGTCCAGCTTGGCTCTCACGCCATCAAGGGTATGTCAATCACATTGGGACGTCCATCCTTTCGTTATTTGGCCTAACATTCTTCGTATAGCTGCCGTCGAGCGCGCTGGTCTGAAGCCTACCGATGTCGAGGAAGTCTTTGTTGGCAACGTCCTCTCCGCAAAGTATGCAACAGATTCGGCCAATTTATTCAGTCTCATCTGCTGACTTCTGCCCTCCTCCAGCCTCGGCCAGAACCCCGCCCGCCAGTGTGCCATTGGTGCTGGCCTCCCCGAGTCGACCGTAGCCACCACCATCAACAAGGTGTGCGCCTCCTCCATCAAGTCGATCATTGTCGGTGCCCAGACAATCATAACTGGCAATGCCCAAATTGTCGTTGCTGCCGGTGCCGAGAGCATGTCCAACACGCCTCACTACCTCCCCAACATGCGTAACGGCGCAAAGTTCGGAGACCAGTCGCTGGTCGACGGTCTCCTCAAGGACGGTCTGACCGACGCATACAAGAAGGAGCACATGGGACTGCAAGGAGAGGAGTGCGCCAGCGACCACGGCTTCTCTCGTGAGGACCAGGACGAATACTGCATCCGCTCGTACAAGAAGGCCAACGCCGCCCAGGAGGCAGGCTGGTTCAAGGAGGAGATTGCGCCCATTGAGGTCCCCCAGGGACGCGGCAAGCCTCCGGTCGTAGTCGACGCTGACGACGAGCCCAAGAACGTAAGTCGTCGTCGCGCACGAGAGTGATTTCTATTCTGGGAACGCAACTTGCTCACCATCTCTAGTTCAACGAATCCAAGACCCGCACACTGAGGCCCGTGTTCAAGCCCAAGGATGGCACTGTCACAGCTGCCAATGCCTCGCCGCTGTCCGATGGTGCTGCTGCCCTTGTCCTCGCTTCTGAAGAAGCTGTCAAGAAGCACGGCCTCAAGCCCATTGCTAAGATCCTCGGCTGGGGTGATGCTGAGCAGAACCCCTCCAAGTTCACCACTGCCCCCGCACTCGCCATGCCAAAGGCACTGAAGCATGCCAATGTGGAGCTGTCTGCTGTCGACGCGTTCGAGATCAACGAGGCCTTTAGCGTCGTCGCTCTCGCCAACATGAAGATCCTTGGCATCTCAGAAGACAAGGTCAACCTCCACGGCGGTGCTGTTGCGCTCGGCCACGCGCTGGGTGCTTCCGGCGCTAGGATCACAACTACACTGCTTGGTGTGCTAAAGGAGAAGAAGGGCAAGATTGGCTGTGCTGGCATCTGCAACGGAGGTGGCGGTGCTTCTGCCCTTGTGGTCGAGTCGCTGCAGTAGATCTCACCTAGCCTGACAGTAACGATACAACATGTTAGAAAAGAATAAACTTAATTACACGTATACACCCGAGCTACTCGACAGATTGTTCGTTCCGATCTGCCCACAACAAGGGAAAGTATGCAGATATCAATTGCCCACGTCGGTGTCCCTGACTAAGTAGTCGGTTTCAGCGCGGTGGAACGGGTTTGCTCGCTTCAAAAGCACTAGCGCGAGCGGGCGCCACTGGCTCTTAGCCGCCCTTGTGCCTGTGTCCTAAATTCGACTCCTCCGTGTTTCAAGCCAAGAGCAGCGAATCACCGCCGTCTAACTTCGGGAATGCCCCAGGCAATCGATAACAATGCCGTGTGCTCGCAGGGATGCGCCAATGCCCATGTTTCAAGCGCCAATGCCCGCTCACCAGCGAGCCCATCCGTCCATTTCCCATGAAACAGCGCACGTTTGGTTAAACATCTGGCCAGCCTTGCCCAGCGCTACCGAGCCACGACCTGGGGCCTGACTGGTTCCTGCAGCTGCCCTTACTGTTGCTAGCCGGGGATTATACCCTCAGATTGAAACCAGGCCCATGTGGCCCAACGGGAGATGCTCGCGCCCCCGGGCCCCATCTGGTCTGTCCACGAGTCTGTCCACGGCGAATGGGGGCTGGCTGTTATGGTCCGGGTAGCAATATACCCTCCACCCGTGGGCCTACGTATATAGATAAGTCCTGTCACTCTGGCGGCCTAGTACCTCGATACTTTGTCCGCCGTCCGTTCAGTTCTTGCGCCAGTTTTTCCTCACGCGTCTAGTACGCAGTCACTCCTTATTTGGTTCCTTTTCTTTTACCATCTCGACGATGCGTTTCACCACACTCACTTCGGCTGCGGCCTTTTTCCAACTGAGCATAGCTGGCTATGTTCTAGAGGATGACTACATGACTGACTTTTACGGCTCTTTTGACTTCTTCACATCACCAGACCCGACCGAGGGCTTTGTCAAGTATGTTGACGAAGACACAGCAAGGCAAACAAACCTCATCAACGCCTCGGTTACTGCAGGTGCGTCGTGGGGCGTTGACCACCAAAACGAATGTCCGGAGGGAAGGCCCAGTGTTCGCCTGGAAAGCAAGAAGAAGTACAACAGTGGCTTGATTGTTGTAGATGTTGCCCATATGCCTTTTGGCTGTGGCACATGGCCAGCGTAAGTAGCCTTGACTATTTCCCCTTTTAGGAGCATAATTCTAAACATCTGCAGGTTCTGGACAACCGGTTCCAACTGGCCCAACAATGGCGAAATCGACATCATTGAAGGTGTGAACGATCAGGTAGTCAATCAGATGACTCTTCACACAGGACCCGGCTGTCAGATCGGTTCCGATACCACCCAGTTCGCTGGTAACGTAACATCGAAGAACTGCGACGTCAAAGCCAAAGGTCAAAAGGATAACCAGGGATGCTCTATCGGCGACACATCAACTCAGAGCTATGGCGCTGGCTTGAACGCGATTGGCGGAGGTGTATACGCAACTCAGTGGACTTCGGATGCCATCAGCGTCTACTTCTTCCCTCGCGGCTCTGTTCCAGAAGATGTTCTTGGTGACAGCCCAGACCCAAGTGGCTGGGGCAAGCCATCTGCCAAGTTTGAAGGTGGCTGTGACATTGAAAACACATTCAAACAGCATCAGATTGTGTTTGATACCACCTTCTGTGGTGTATGGGCCGGGGCCACCGATGTTTGGGAATCTAGCTCTTGCTCGCAAAAGGCCGCTACTTGCCAAGAATGGGTACAGAACAATCCCGAGGCTTTCGCAGAGGCTTACTGGACAATCAACGCTTTGAAGGTATATCAGGACAATGGTGAGGCTCCCAAGCCAAAGCCTTCGTCAGCACCTCAGCAGAGCAGCGCTGCCTCTCTCCCAGTGCCTGTCCCAAGCGAGACGCTTGTCGTGTCCTCTACACTTGCTGGACCGACTGGCCTCCCTTCTGTCCCAATATCGGTCACCAAACCGTCCGTATCGAGCATCTTTGCGCCTATTCCTACCAGCGAAACGTTGTCCACCCCGGTTTCTGCTCCAGTTGCATCTTCGCCTGTCTATGGAACTGCTCCCAGCGCTCCGAGCCGTCGTCCAAGCCCCAGCTTCCCAAAGTCTCCAGTCCAGAGTCCCACCGAAACCGAAACCGAACAGGGCATTAAACCCGTTACACCACCAACCCTTGTCGCAGCTCCAGGTCCAGCACCAACCGGCGCAGGTGGTATGCCTGGTTTCCAGTGGCCTCAGGGCGGTGCAGGTGGTTCCAACGGTACGAAGCCAACATCTAAATCTGCTACCTCGCCTCCCCAGAAAACCAGTGCCCCGGTCCAGAACTCAACCAGCACCGCAGCATCTCCCAGCTTGAGTCAGAGTGCCGCCCAGCCCACTGGTGCCCCGGTCGCATCCGCAGCTCCAGCACCAGGAACCCCATCTTCATCACCGGAAGCTCCAGCCTCGTCACCGAAAGCCCCAGCTTCTGCACCAGAAGCTCCAGTTCCAGCGCCAGCCCCGACAACTCCCGCCAATGCATCCGTCGCCGCTCCAGTCGTTCCCGTCGTTACAGACCTCATCCAGTCTGTCCAGACCGTATGTGAGACTGTTTACTATACTGTCACAGCTACCGCCGCCCCGACGCCAGCACCCACAGTTGCCGCAAGAAACGTACGCATGGAAAGATTCATGAGAGAGCACAGGCAGAGGCTCACAAGGCACCACGCAAAGTACTAGATAGCGCATTCGTGGGAGAAACTATCAAGTTCTTGAACAGGACTCGGCAACGTACATATATTCAAAAAGTCAGCACTGGTTGTTGATCTCTTGTTAGTTTTTGGGGTTGACGGGCGCACGCGTACATATATACCCCAGATATCTTTTCTCTGTAAATACTTCTTCTTCATTCACAACAGCAATACACATTTTACGTGGTCTGCTACTTGAACTGTCTACCTCCATCAAGTGACCCAATCATCCCTTCTCTTTTCCATTGACCCGTCCCTGTCTTCGACCTAGGATAAAAACAATTGTTGTAATCATTGACCACCATCACCTTTGTTCTCCACTCCCCGTACGTGTCCCGCCTTTCTTCTCCCACTTCATACCAATAAAAAAATCGGTGATAGAGTGCAAGTGCAAGAAGGAGAGGAATGGAGAAGCAAAAACAAAACTGTGGACGCTGTGGGAATTGAACCCACGACCTTTCACAAGTACGCACGTTTTATGATGCGAAGCGAAAATCATACCCCTAGACCAAGCGCCCGGTATTAGGTAATCTTTGCTTGTTTAAAAAGTTATATAGATTATATTCCTGATAAAAATTAGGCAAAAGGTGACATGGGTTGAACAGACGTTTCACGGCTTCTTCTTTGCTAGTGATTGGTTCAAAGGACTGCGGGGTTGTCATTGCAGAGTTGTGGGGTAGTCTCGCACTTTCCCTGTGCTGGTGGAAATTGTCGAGACAGATTCAATTCAACACATCCATTCAAATCGCCTCCTGAATTGTTATCCAAATGATTAGAAATACAAAACATCAAAGTTTACATCAAGTTTTCTCACTGATACAACGAGAAAAACGCTTGTCGAATGATAACAGTCAACTCAGCACACACAAATAACTTCTTGCGTCTCCCCTTGCTTCAACGCATCTTGCGCGGCCCTAAACATACCACCCACTTTGGTAATACCAACCCGACGAAAATTCCTATACCGCCCACATCCTTGTTCCCGCTCACTTGGTGAGGATAGAACGTCGCCCTCATACTTGAGCAACAAGCAGTACAAATAACGATCTGCACTTCTTACTGTCCGCTCACCATATGCCCCAGGCATGCAGTACAATTGAGCGCTCTCACCAAAGATATCGGTGTCGGAATTCGGTGCATCAAGGTAGATGTTGGCGTATTTGTGTTGCCGCTTACTATGCGACCCTGTTTTCAGGCGCCAGGTATAGGGTACGCCTTGGCCAGCAGCTTGCCTCTGGAGTTCGATTGGGTGGAGATAGCGCGGTGCAAGAAAGATGCGGCCGGACGCGAGTATGCCAAAGGGGTTCTTTGGGTCAGCGAGAGTGATGCTGTAGTCTTTGACTCGGAAGAGAAGTACGTCAGTAAAGTTTGCAGGGCTGTGTTGCGAGGACATGTAATCTGTGACATCGCTGTATGTGACTCCATGTGGAGTATCGATAGCAGCCCATGTCCACGAGGGCCCGCTTTCTGGGTACCGCGTTCCAGGGTTGTCATAGATTCCGTTGCCATGGTATACCTCGTTTACATGCCATAATAGCTGACTTTCGATGTGACGGCTCCATAGCCCAGCGACATATTCCTGCTCGAAGTCTGTACTGAAAAGCTCATTGTGGAACAGTTTTGCTATGCCGCTGAGTGCGATGAGTTTGTCTTTGTTCTCTGTAAGCTGTTTTTGAGAATAGTTTTCGACTGTTTTTTTCCATAGTTCGTAGATGTGTATGTCTTTGATGTGCTGATCAGGATCTCGAAACCCGTTCAATCGTGCTTCGCGGAACGAGCGTCCTGTAGAAGCTGTTAGGTGCTTCAAGCGACCTTCCTGAACGAAGCCGTCGGTACGGGATGGCTTGATCGCTAATTCATTCGGAGAGTGACTTTCACTGCAACTGAATTCATGACACTCCCAGGCGAGCTGGTTGTGGCCAAAGTGGAGTACGCGTGGTGCCAGTAAGCGTTCCTGGAAGACCCAAGCCCGTCGATTAACTGGGGCATACTCAACGAGATCGTCCCAAGTAGAAGTATCGATCAGGGAACATCTCGTGTAGGTGTCTGGTCTTGAGGCGTCGTGGTATGACCCAACTGAATGGTTCTCAGGGTAATGCACATAAACTTTATTTCCCCAAAGACGCTTTGGTCGACGGTTGAAGAACAAGCCGTCTTGTCCATCATTTGCAGCGGTAGCGGAGATATTAAGGAACGCCTTTTGATACACGACTTCCATATGGCGACTTTGCTCGAACCAATCTTTGAGCTGCTCCTCTTGGTTCACACCATTGTCTTTAGTTGGTTGCCGGATACAAAGAGAGTCGATCCATATGAAACCGACCTTTTCCAGCCCTGCAGCGAATATGACGGCGTCTTGAAATGTCTTTGGCAGATCCTGCAACATGATACCATCAGTTTTAAAGCGCTCTTCATTCTCGAAAGTCATTCTCAGTGGTGGTGGTGAGCCCGGTTTCGGTTTACCCCAACAATGGCTCAATGTGACATAGCGGTCGTTCCCATGCTTGACTCGAGCACGATAAAACACGCTACATGCTTCTGGCTGGCTCAGAAATTCTTCAGTCTCTACCAAAAGTACTCTCGCCCTTTGTGGATCTTGGAAACTGGTTTGCAACTCTGCCAAATCCAATAGACGACGAGGGTACCATTTCGTGCAAGGCTCTTCCCAGAACTTGGCACAGTTACACTTTCTCATCCAGGTTTGTGCCGTTTCTGTAAAATCTCCAAAGGTGCTGCTATGGAAGTCAAGTGACTCTTCTTCATCTACAGACATTAGAAAAATGAGGGCATCGTCTTCTGTGTGGTTCATCTACCTGTTTCTGCTAGGAAAAAGGTGCATTCGCGATTGTCCCCAAGCTCGAAGTCAAGCCTAAAAGTCCGTTTTCCTGTTTCGTTGCTATATGATCTTTCCCAATTCAATGTTGCTCGAATACATAAAGGCTGGCCTTGTGAAACATCAGCCTCCAGATTCAGCGTTCTCGCCAGCCTTACACAGACTGGGCAATCCATATCCCTTGAATGCTGAAGTGTTCTTGTTGACTCATGATGTCTGAATGTGTATTCGAGGGTATGAATTTTGATAAGACCTTCGCTCCGGCTGAGCATACCAATGCATAGGTCGCAAAGCATCCTGGAATGCAGTAAGATAGTTATCGTGAAATCGATATACGGGCCTGTCGCAGACGACGATTGATCGCGCAATCGGAGTATTCGTATACTACAACCCTATCCTGTACCTGTTATGCACATGGTGATACGCTTACAGTTCTAGATGTTGGGCAATCAAGTGAATGAACCCAGGTGCTGCTAGGCTGTTGTCACGGCGCTTAGGCTCAGCGAGCCGCGTGGCTCTAGCTTTTACAACAACCTTGCCACATTAATGCTCTAGTGTTCAAAATTCTATGAAACAGAAATTGTGTTTTTGCAATTGAAGTCAGCCCCGTATTGGTGTTTACTGAAAAGCCGCTCCCGCATAGACATCTCTTCAAACTAGTGTATCACGTGATTCCTCCACTAGGAGAAACGAGAAAGGTTCTAACTGCATAAACTTGCGAGCTGGTTGTGTATGCGTGACGTTATATGGTGATAATTGCTTCATACCATATGATACAGTGTTCCCTTACTAAGCAGCTACGGAGTATATGATAAAAAAAGCTTATGAATACAAAATGCTCCGGGTGTACTCTACAATACTGCTGTATTAACGTTGTTCTGGAAACATACACTCTGATCATAAATACAGGAGTTCTACGGCAGCGTGTGGACATAAGAACGTGAAGATGGAGCTCCAAATTTTGATAAATTACTCTATTGTTTATGGGTTCGCATATATACTCCTGATCCTGTTATAATACGGTAGGTTCATTGGCAACAATCCATCGTGCCCCAAAAAGTCCATGAGCGTTGGCAAAACAGCTGTTAGCTCAGCTAGTCGGGGCTCAGCACCGCATGATGTACCGTCAGAATCAGTTTTGGTATGTTCCCATCACATCTGAGTTTTGGTACCTTAGTCCACTATGGTAGACTGGTAATCGTAGGGGTTTAGGGAAATCATAGAAAAAGCAAACGCTCTCTCAAACGCCACGTCAATATCTTAAAAGTCTCCACGCCCTCTACCACCCCTACCCCTTCTGCCACCGCGCTTTTTGCGGTCCCAGTTGCCCCTAAAGCCGCGACCGCCTTGGTGACCATTCCTATCGTCACGTTCGCGTTCTTCCTCTTCTCTCTTCATCATCTCACGCTCACGTTCTAGTTTCTCCGCCTCGAGCTCCTCTGCACTCTTCTCCACACGAACTTCAGGTTTCTTGAGGTCTGTGGGATATCGTGGGTGGGCTCCGTACTTGCAGCCCTTGCCTTCGGGGCAGAAACCGCATAGGTAGAACGGACACAGTTTTTCCTTCTTGTTGTGCTTCAGCGCGCAGTGTGGGCCAAGTGGGCAGAATCCTCGATCGTAGTGTGGACATGACGGGCGCTTCGCATCAGGATCTAAGTGGAGGTATAAACAATCATCGCCGTTTGAGCAGGTTTGTGTCCGGGCATAGTAGGAACATTCGGGCATTCGTCGGAGGTTGTATTCGTGAAGGAACTCGCATGTTTCGCCTTTCTTACAGAGACCGCGCAGCCAATGTTTGCATACGAGACTGAGGACTTTGGTCAGTTTCTAATAGCAATACATGGGAGACTACTAGCTGCATACTTGTTGTAAGATGAGGAGACATTGTGTTTGTTTGGGCATTTACTGCCGTCTGGGCAGTGGCCTTGGAGATATGCTTTACAGGTTGGGCGGTCAGGATTGAGGCCAAATCGGTATTCACGTCTAAGAAACTCGCTGAATTTGAAGTTGTATTGCGGCGGCCGAGCCTCTGCAGATTTCTGTTCGGACACCGGCGCCGCTACTGATGTCATGACCTCAGTCATTGTTGGTGCGCTTTATGAGAGCGCGTAGAGAGGTGGTTTTTAGTAGCTGATGCGTCCGATCACGATCCGAGTTGCCGTGGCTTACTGCTTATAGATGGATGTTGTCGCGGTTTGCGCATGTAATTCTAGATGATGCGCGATCCTGAATCTTCCATAAAAGCCGGGTGGCTTTGTGGGGGTAATGTTCGTTGTTATTGGAGAGCAGCTGTATGTGTAGTCGGATGTCGACATAAGCGGCTCGCCAGACAGCCTACCTTCGGGATCGACAGCGCGAAAACACGTGATCGCCAAGCAGCAGATCAGACCTCCTCTATACGCCTGCACTTACTATGCAACCTACTGGATCAATGTTGAAAGACGCTTCCGTCCCACTTTACCACTTTGTCCTTGTCTTGTGGTGACCATGGGCTTCATCTGAAATTCGTGCGTGCCGTCTACCCGGCTGTCACCATTGGCACCGCCTTGGAACCCCACACCTGCGCTGCGCCACATCTTCCACCTCACTTACTGTCAGCCCCCCGATGCTCAGCAGAGGCGCACGCATCACAGCCACCGTCTACAACCAGCAAGCCTGTTTCCAAACGTATCTGGATACGCTCGT